CGGGCCCAGACTGGGAGCTCGAGAGAGTGACGTATCCCCAAACGCGAGAGACGTCCGCAGAGGAAGTGCACCCATAACGTGCACCTATAAAGTTCTAAGTATGCATGCAGCCTTAGCAAAACGAATACTTACTGTCCACGGACCCTTCAGCTTCACGACTTCATGGCCCTCCTCGTCAACATAAACCTCCTTCTGGCCTAGCCTTTTGCGATATTGAATAGCAATGAGGAGGAGAGCTCCTACTGCAATGGGAAGAGGGTACCAGGTTGTAGGTGTTTGCTTCCACGCGTTTGCCAGCCTTTCTGTGGTAGGCAGACCTCTGAGACATAGTCGACACGTCATGATCGCGTACTTACGATGGAGCGGCACATCCGGTCCCCCAAACGACTCTGGTGGTGGTATGCCACCCTTGGACGAGTAGAAACGGTGATTTGCCTTGTTCAACAGCGTAGTGCCGCTGCGTATGCACCGTCTGATGATGCGAGAGGAAACATTGGTGCCGCTACCGCTGTAGAGACCCGAAGAGAAGCGGTGGCGACCGCTCACGATTTTAGCCTTGATTCCGAGCATAAAGGCATGAGCAGAGCTGGGGTAAGTATCCCGTATTTACTCGTCACAGACGAAGGCTGCGAGCCAGCTTGCAAGGCGGGGCGAGACGGGGTAGTTAGCGAGAGAAACACGAGCGAAGAGCAAGGGTCGAGGAGACCTGGGCCCTTCTTGTTGACGCATTTACGTGGTACCGCAATCACGTGCTCCTCTTATCCGCTCTCAAAGCATCGCTTTCAAGCAAGCCGAAATAAAATAAAATAGTTTTGTCGCAGCCAGGACGTGGTCCAAAGGACTGCAGGACACCCAACGGCTTGCAAAGCATCCGTGTCGGCGCGACCCAATTTTTGAGGCTGACTGCGACAGCTGAAAGGTATGTGGCGCAAGTTCGGATCACACCGGTGCGGCACTGCGAAAGGAAATCGTTGTTCAACTAGTATCCGCTGGTAGTGTAATGTTATTAATCAAGAAACCGTCTGAGTGCTGCATTTGTACCACTTGAAATTGCACTGAGCTGAAAATAATACGCATTGAGAGTAACTAGTCACTGTACCTAGATTGTGAATAATTGGCACACGCCGTTGGTATCGAAATAGCAGTTGCCGCTCTCGCCTGCGCAGACTGCACAAGGGACATTCCCGGGATAACCGCAATCGTTACTGCAATACGAGCTGAAATTTTTGAGTAAGCACTGGCATCAAGCGCAACCCATGCAGCCCACCTTCCGTCGATCTGAGAGCACAATCCAGGGCAGCCGGTAGGGGACGTGCAATTGCACCCTCCGGATTGCGCCGCGCCTTGTGTAGCAAACAAGACGAAAAGCCCTAGAGCAAGTGCTGACAGCTGCATAAATTGCGAGGTGTTCGTGTTCTTCAAGTTTGTGGTGTGGATTAGGATGCAAGACGGCGTGGGGTTCCGACTCCTCGTCCTGATGCATAGCTTGAGGTCTGCGTGTTCATATATGCTGTCGATAGAAGTTTGAGCGCTGTTACGTTTAGCCCTGCGGCTTAGTTAGCATCCCATCTCTCGACCCTGAATTCCTTTGACTCGCCAAGTACGGGTTCAACAAATCTTGGTTACATTCTTGTCCCACGATGCTAGTAATCGCCGTGATCACCTGACTTGTGCTCCACTGCGCAACGTCGCTGCGCGAAATGCAATGTTGATCGAGGAAGACAGTGGCTTCACCAGTTGCCCAGTGCACCGAGCCTATGCGCTCGATCACTGTCGCGAACTGGTTAGTATTAAGGGTAGACATCCAAAGTCAGCTGCAAGGCACATCATCGGAGCTTCCAGAACCCAGACAAAATCACAAACCCAGGATTAGAGCCAGACAGCGCTCCGGTCACGTTCGGCCGCATACAGTTCCGTAAACCATGTCCGCTACAAGCTCTTGAAGTACTTTCGAGGTATGGCCAGATAAAACTCAGTTGTAGAATTTCAAACACAGTCCATACAATGACTGTTGAGTTGACGCGTGCTGCTACAAAGCTTATACAAGGTGAATGACTCCTACGCGGCAAAAATTTAACAGCCACTGCTAGGCCGGACTAGGCTAGGTTGGCCTGCAATGATAGTTGAACAAACATGCACAGTCGAACCGGGAAAAGGTGGCACATCTAGAGGTAGTCAATGAAGCACTCGCCCTGGTCATAGCTACAGATTGTTCCTCCGTTAATACCAGCGCAGGCGCTGCAAGGAGTTAACTCCTCATTACCACAATAATCAGAGCAGTACGGTCCGCAAAAGGCAACGTTTTCAACTCCGAAAAAGCATATGCTCTAGGGCGGCAACTATTCGCCGTCCATCGGATAGCCTGCGCTGCCCGGGACAGCCTATCGGCGACATGCAACCAGAGTAGGCGAGCTGCGCAACGACTCGACCAGCAAAGGCCGCGAAAACGACGCCGAGAACAATGGCGAGGCACACGGTGCTCGGATGCCGAGTCCTGCACTCGCATAGAGAGCATCATCGGTCAGACTCAAGCGTTCTGGCCTGAGCCTAGTAAGCTGGTCAGCATTCCTCAGCTAGATGAAGGCCGTAAGGTCTTCCCTTCACCGGAGTAGTTCCGCATATGCGGCAACAACCTGTCAACGATATCCATCGTGAGATGCAAGAAACCGTGAGATACAATGGGAGCAAGTCCGCCGCTGCGTATCTGCGTCAGGCTTGATGGTACTCCGAAGAGGGCAAGGAATATGACGCAAGAGCTCATTTCCCCACTAAGATAGAGAGACGGAGACGGAGGATGGACGCTACCCCAGCCAAGAGCCATGGCTGCAGTGTGTGAGGGTCAATCCTTTGGACACAGAGAATAGAGAGCCACACCGAGTGACGGAAACGCTGCTACAATTGGCTGCTGGCGTTTCTCAGGCGAATCCAGCTCCGAGTCGCCAGACGCTGAAATTGAAGCGGACGTGTGTTTGCACTGTCGCACGGGACGCGTTCGCTCTGACAGACGAAAAGCCCTAGATTGTGGAACGTCTGACAATGGTGGTCTTGGTTAGTCCCAACTGAAATGGAATTCAAACGAGCATTGATCAATGCTGGACGGGAGGAGACAGTCGATAGCAAAATATTGAACTCGCCAAACGTCGCGATAAGCATGGAGTGTGAGCATAGTCCTATAAGCATTCAGAGCACTTGGAAAAGCGGCAGCAGACCCTCTTCAGCGCGTCACCTTCGTAGCTGCAACGTCTGATAGCAATTAGCAATCATGCTTGGGGGGTTTTTCCTTCTCGGGGTGTAACGGAATGTGACGCAATTGCGTATCATGCCGGTGCAAGGTCACAAAAGGAAATCGTCGTCCAATATAATCCATGCACTTAGCTCAGCGGTCAACAACAGGTGAGCTCACCTAATTGCCAGTGTTATCGAAGTAGCAGCTCTTGTTTGAGCCCTGTCTTGCACAACTTGTGTCTCCGCGAATGCTAGGCTGCTCAAATATGTGCTCCTTAGACGCGTCGAGGGCTTGATGCGTTCCGCTTGCGCCCACATCATCACGAAGCGGCCAGCAACGGCCGTCACCGCCTAACTCCCGCTGCGCCAAGGGGCGCGCAAAACAGATAGCGCCAAGGATAGCGCCGACACCGTGGTCGCCGCCCAGTCAGGCCTTAGGACTGCTCGATATTTTGAACAGCTGGAAGCGAGTACATAACTGACGAGAGGGCGACCCGTGCTACGCACGGGTAGAGAGAATTGAGAAGAGAGTTAAGAAGGGAAATCGAGTGAGAAATGAGAGGAACGCACCGCCCGCCGCCAACCTTCGGTTGGCTGGGCGTGCAGCGCCCCCGTGAGAGGCGCCTCGCGAGAGGGATCACTGGCCAATGACAGTGCGTCTTTGTCTCGGGGTTTCGACGCCCGAGGTGTTTTAGTATATCAGAGATAATGCACAGCCTGAGGTGAATTCACAGTAGGACTGGTAAGCCCCGAACTCGACTTGAGTGGCAGAAAACCAATTTCTAGAACCTCTGGTACTCCATACCGCCTCACCAGCTGCCAAGTACGACAGGCTTAAGCACTAGAACATCACTGCAAACTACCGAGTTTTGGAAAGTTTGGTAATAATAATAATAATAATAAAGTCAGCTGCGGGGTACACCGGTACCGTCGCTGGAGCTGCCAGACCGACCTGCACACAGCTGTAAGTTTAAGATGAGAGCTGGGTATCCTTCCTGGGCTTGCCTTCGCGTGCATTGTCTCGCGGCTCACCGCCGTCGCAGGCTCCCGACGAACTCTTGAGACATTGGCTAGACACAACTCAAGACTGAGTGTCTGACGCACACTTCGTCACTTCACATAATGGCTGCATACGGGTATATAGACCATACAGGGAGAACGACTTCAGGCCGAACAGTAAACAATCGTCATTAAACCGCCCATGCATTAGCTTCGCCTGCGAAGGGGCCTGATTAAATATGCGTAGCTGAAACGAAGAAAGGTCGACGCACCTACGGCAGCTTCAGCACACACAGGCCCGAGTCGTAGAAGCAATTCACTCCATCGTTCTGGTCGGTACATGCCTCGCAGGGGCTCATACCCGTGGAATTACAAAAACCTGCGCAGAATGGCCTGTAAAAGCGCAACGTCATGAGACCCCGACAAAGTGCGCTCTGGAAGCAACAACTACTCACTCTCCACCGTCTTGGACACACTGTCCGGGACAGCCCCCAGGCGTCGGACAGCTAGGGCAGCTCTGCGCAGCGGCATGGGCAACGAATACTGCGACAACGACACCGAGGACAGTGGTGAGACGCATGGCGTTCCAAGCTCGAATATGTAACTATACGCTGTCAGGACATCGCGCGCAACCCTTATATGCGGCTCAGAATCTCTGCAGGACTTTTGCTGCGCTTAGGTCGAAGCCATTATCCGCCGAACCTGGGAAGGGCACCTGAACCCGCAGATCGGTCGGCACTGTTGACTAAACGACCGTCCGGCCTTCCATCGCCGACATCCGAATCGGCTCTGAACATGTTTCGTCGTAAGACGTAAAATGATCAGTGAAATACTTTAGTTCAAGTTCATCACAACTCACCTGCGCCGGGCCTGACGCAGCACACCGACTGGGCGGAAAATGTGATGCGGAGCCCGCCAGCTGACGAAGTAAGAGAGCCGGTGGAAAAGGGCAGCTGCCATCGTCAGAAATTGCAGCTGCAGTTCGAGCGGGCACACGAGAGCGGGTCATC